TTTCTTTACACCTGGGTGAGACGTAAACTCAACGCTAGGGTCCCCACAAACTTGCTGTAATTGTTAGTAATTTACAGTATTTCTTTTATGCTCGAGCTTTTTCTGGTATACAGGACACTGTCGGTTAAATGTCATATGATTTTCATCAAGCCCTAAGTTAAATTGTTTATTTGCACGAATGCAGTTTATGCATTTGTTTAATGTTTCCTTAGAACATTCCACAGTTTTGTGGTTATCTAGGCACTTGAAACATACCTCATCAGCTTTACATTTCGCAGCTATGTGGTTAAATCCCTTGCATTTGAAACAGAAAGTAACATCCATTCCATCTTTGACTCTACATTTTTCCCAACCTATGTTTATTTTTTCGCTTGCCAGCACGGCTGCAAAGGCATCTACATCTGTTTCTACTAACGCATTATAATGTTTTGCATTTCCTCTTTTTGTTTCAAAACATTTCAAAATTTTGAAATTACCATTTTTGAAGCATTCATTCTGTTTTTTTATCATATCCCTGAGCTGCTCATTCTCATGTTTAAAGCTCATTCTATATACCATGAACCTTGGCTTGGCTACGTTTGGGATTTTTATTTCATATCTATCACTCATTTTATTCTCTATTGCCTTTTTGATTTTTTCATGCTCAGCCTCATTTTCTGTTTGTATTACTACAGCCCCACTTTTCCTCCCCTGTACACTATTAATTTTCAAGCCCGAGGGGTCAACATTTTTGTTCAAATCTTCTTTTGTTTTTCCCACTTCCTGCTTCTCTTTTGGTTGTAGAACTAATGGCTTCTCTTTATTTACTTTCGGCGGCCTATTATCTTTCGCAGTATTACCTTTAAAGAAATCCGCGTAAGTGGCTTTCGCCCGCTGACCTGCTAACGCGTCAGCAGTCACCGATTTCTTTATCTCTTAACAAATTTTTTTGTTCTCATTTTCATTGCGCACTATGGCTTCGGCTTTGCTTTTTTACGCCGTCAGCTATTGACTTAATTTGGTTCACTTCGAGAATACTCGCCTCACAGGTTTTTTGTACTCTTTGCATTGCATCAATGCGTTCCCCAAATTTTTTCTCTATTGATTGCAAGAGAAGTTTAAGCTCTTTCACTTGCATTTTTTGCGGTGCGACTCCTGGAAGTCATCATTACACTCTTGGATCTTTTGACTATTTTTCTCTATTGTTAAGTTCATATTTCGGAGCACCTCATCGATGTTATGCATGTATGTGTGACATTGGTTACACATAAAGCGCACAAAGTTGTTTTCTTTGAGTACATTCGCACTTTACTCATCCAATTCAGAGCATTTTTTTGCCCAGTGCCACACTTTACCACACACACCATCACAGCGGATTCCGCTGTCACCGCGAATTGGATTCTTGCACTTATGGCATTTATCCAGTTTCGCGCCTTATTGTTTTTGTCACCTCACTGCACTTTTATGTCTCTAGCTATATTTATTTGTTTGTTTAATCAAAATGAAACAAATTTTTGTGCTTGCAAATAGCACAGTTTATTAGCACTTCGCTATTTAAGCTCTAACACTGGTTAAAATCCCAACAATTCGGCAGTTTTTTTTAAATTTTCCGCAGAGCGATTACAAACACGTCAACAACGTTGCAGTGTTACCATAATTACCCTGAAAGAGTAGGCAATGGTGCGCTAACTACGTTGGGAAGTTTCGCTAGAACGTTCAGCATCGACGGAATGGAGTTGGAGGTGACATTTCATGTAAATAGGGAGCGTGAACTGAATTATGCAGCG